AAGTAAAAGTGATTTTTGACCACAAGGCAAGACATTTCACAATTGTGACAATATATAAGTTTAGGTCAATCATATGTTAGAGTGTGTTAATGGTGTTCAGTCTTTGCATTTCTATAAAGTATTTAGAACAATGTCCATGTGCTATCTTCAGCGTCGTCATTGAATTGTTTAAAAATGTTTAATAACACCCTATAAATTTTTCATTTCATGATCAAGTTGGCGGCTTAAATATCTTAAAAGTTTAACTGCCTGTAACAAGTCAGAAATATGACAGTTGTTATCCATACCGTTGATGTGTTTCAGCTTTTGATTTTGCCATTTGTTAGGGACTTTCCTTTTTGAATTTTCCACAGAGTTCGGTATTTTTGTGATTTTACTTTATACAAATACAAAATTAAAATCAAGTTCTTTCATGACATTAAACCAAGTAACTATTTCGCATCAACATATACATCTGTTAAAATGTATACTTCTGTTTTATTAATCTTATATAAATTCTTGCAGACTTGAGTGAAAAATCTACAGACTACAGTAAAGCTTAAAACAAAGAAATCTACCTTGGGTAACGTTGTGTCATCTCAACTTTATGTAACTAATGGCGTATTGTTATTTTTTTTTTATCTCCATTGGTTTTACCTGACAAAGTTATAACTTAAAAAAAATACATTGGCAAATATGTTTTGCTAGTTTTGTTATATTTATTATTGTTAGTATTGCTGTTGTAGATTTTGTTCTATTGATTAATGCATATGAAAAATAATAAACCTGCGTACTTATACAGTTACTTCTTACTACAAGGTTTACTGGAATTATATTTCCAAACCCTACAGCACTGCCTAAGAATAACATTATCTACAACAATAAATCTAGCTTTGATCCGGACCGGGTAAACTACAAAGAAGACGCGGATTACGTAACCATATCCCCAACTTCGGTTGTACGAGTTGAGTCGTCTGAATGAATGCTGAATGTCACCTGATTCTACGATATTACTGAAACATAGTATGGTTGGTAAAAACGATTTGAAACCTAGAAAATGTCTTCCAATTATTAGTATACACGGGTTTTATGCTTGTAGTCTCTATATGTCAACCAAATTTATCAATGCGATTTCAATATTTGTTTATTTATAAAATATGTCTTCAAATAAAAATAAAAAAAAACATCCTGATTATACTATGTAAAAAACTGAAGGAATCAAATTGATCAGAAAACCGATCAATACAAACATATTAAACAGGTTATAATATTAATAATGAACTATTCCTCTGTAAGGAGTTTTTATTCTCCGTCTCACAAATCAATGGGAAATCTCTTTTAAACATATAGAGATTTTTAATTAACATTTCTCATAAACGTTTTTTTCCTCATTTTCAGATGTCATTTTAATGCATTCAATTGTTTTGGTTAGCTTGCATCTTTCTTCATTGTAAATATATCAGTTGTTGAAAGTACGTGCAACATAGTTGTCCATCGATGAAATAGCATCATAATGAATTGTATACAAAGTAGTATTCCAAACACAATTGAAAACATGAAGGATATTGGTTTGATGATAATATAATTTGATTTGCATGGAATTTGGACAGATAAGGTATTGCTAATCGAACTGGTATATTCAAGGCTGAACATAAGTATAACAGCTAAGGTATTTAAGATCAGTACACTAATTAACGAATGGTTTCGAAGATCATGTAGTTTGTTCTTCATTTTTGAGTCTTCTGTATCATCGTTATCCGAGATAGGCTTTAAACATCCACGTAATTTCTCCTCCCAGAATATCTTCTCCTCATGCGGCAGCTGTTTATGGCATTTTTTCTCTGTTCCTTGATAAAAATAAAATAAATTCATACAGATCTCAATTAATCAAATTAATCATTTAATTCAATACAAATATAATGATAGGTATCGTCATTGTCTTTTGATGTACCTTTAAATTAGTTTTCTAATAGAAAATAGCGTTTTTATATTTTGATTTATCCTTTTGAAAATGAAACATTCAGTATTAATAAAATTAAATAAAGAATTAAAATATTTTCCCTTCTTTTTGACGTTTGTTCACACATCTCTGTCAATATACTGGAATTTTATGCGACTGTCATACAAGTGAGAGGTTAAGCAAGCTATAAAACCAGGTTTAATCCACTATTTTCACCATACAAAAATGTCAGTACCAAGTCAGGAATATGACACATGATATCCATTTGTTTGATGTGTTTGAGCTTTTGATTTTGCCATTTGATTAGAGACTCTCCTTTTTGAATTTGCTTCGATGTTTTGTTTTTTTTTGTTTGTTTTTTTGTTTTTTTTTACCTTTTTCAAACACTTGACGGACCGAGTATGGAGTTGAGGTTCCACTAAAGCTTTTGTTATGAAGGAAACTAATTACATAAAGGACATCGCGTTTGTCGGTAAAATTTTTGATAAATTACATGGAAGGAATGTTTATCCTGTATATTGAACATTGCAAAGTTTCTGTTTTCCGTTTCAATTCATTGGCTACGAGTGACAAAGCTAACGTTATCGTCGAAATCTGGTGTCGCTTCTTTTAAACAGGTCGTGCGATTCCCCAATTTTCTGTCTGTTACCTGGATCTGTTTCTTCCTTAATCAATTTAAGAGATTTAAACATGATAAACTACTGTCGACTTTATTCATTCACACGTATTGGTTGCAGGTTGTTACACTCTTGAGGATATGTATGTCAACATAGCATTTTACTGTGGTATTGAAGAATCTGTCATCAAATATCAAAACTTATTTCTGCTGATAGTTTTGAATAAACTGTGTAAGTCAAATTCGCAAATCAACATATTCTAACATTATTTTCTTGTGTGTGTATTCTTTCCACAATTATAATCGTAAATAAAGCAATATGAATATAGACTACGTAAGGTATTAGAACAAATTCATCATGTTTAATCCGACTTTTTTTTTGTTTTTCCAGTGTTTTGCTCTCTCTTTAATGTTATATGCTATATGGGGTTGTTCCTAATTAAACGTACCCGTTTCCGGTTCTCCACCCTCAGAACTGTTGTTAAAAAAATAGAATATCACAATAAAACAAAGATCTTAAACAGCTGTTTGCAAATCTACAATTCTACTGGTAGACCTTTTTTTCAATCTGAACTTTTGTTGTGTCGCCATTGGAATTATTTAATGAATCAACGCCAATTCATTGTCAAGAAGTGTTCAGGAAACGAAAAGCAAGGTTTCACGTCTCGTCCTTTTTCTTAAAAAGTTCATGGAAAGATACTTCCATATCAACTTCATATATAATACACAATGGTCTTGAGGTATAGATTTTAGTTACTGATCTTGTTTATCACATAAATAACGTATTATAATATTTTATATTTGTTTTGGTAAATTTTACTGTCACTGTTTAGTCTATGTTGGGTAGATGCCACTGCTGGTGGACGTTTCGTCCCCGAGGGTATCACCAGCAAAGTAGTCAGCACTTCGGTGTTGACATGAATATAAATTATATGGTCATGTTTATAAATTAACTGCATAGCCGTATTTGGCACATCTTTTTGGAATTTTGGGTCCTCAATGCTCTTCCAACTTTATACTTCTTTGGCTTTCTAACGATTTTGATCTGAACGTCACTGATGAGTCTTATGTAGACGAAACGCGCGTCTGGCGTGTCAAATTATAAGCCTGGTACCTTATATAACTATTTGGTATGGCTATTTGACGTGGCTCGGTACTTGTAAATCACGTAATTGTGTTAATTTGCTATAATCAATGTTTGCAATTTTGTCTTTCGTGTTTGCTAATGTGCGTTGTTTATATGCCTTATCATGCTTTTTGTTTTAACTTTATTTACATATTTTTGATATTTAATTTTCTTTTTATGTGTTTAAAAGAATAAAACATAATGCTGTTAGATATCAAGTATAGATACTTTACTTCTGTGGATTTTTTTCTTCAAATAAACATTCCTTATGCGTGTTTAGTAAAGACCCAGTGGATTTTTCCGAAGCATTTGCATATCTAGACTGTTTCCTGTGGTTAGCTTTGGATCTTAGTTGATTATATATAAGCATGGTTAACATGGTTGTAACATGTAAATGTTTTATTGATAGCATTGTTATTCTATCCGATTGGTCAATACAAATGCAAACGGCATTTTTGTATTCCAGCTATCTAATACACTAAATGTACTTGTGTTTATGTATTCAAATAACATTTATCATTCATCCTATTTACCCTTTAACTTAATTTAAATCCGTGTTTTATGGCTGCAAAAGAGGGACGAAAGATACCAGTGGGACAGTCAAACTCATAGATCGGAAACAAACTGACAACGCCAATGCCAAAAATAAAAAGACAAACAGACACATAATAGTACAGATGATACAACATAGAAAACTAAAGACTAAGCAACACGAACCCCACCAAAAACTGGGGGTGATCTCAGGTGCTCCGGAAGGGTAAGCAGATCCTGCTCCACATGTGGCACCCGTCGTGTTGCTTATGTTATTACAAATCCGGTAAATAGTCTAACTTAATACTAATAGTGCAACTTATGTGGCAATTAATTGAAATTTAGGAATATATTTCTTTGTTAATTACACAACGCTTAACAATAATATCAAGCTAAACTATCGCTCAATGTTATCTATTGAAAATATACTATTAGTGCTCAATTATTTAATTTGTAAAATTGAAGGTTTCCTGGTCGAAACATATACGTGGCTCGGATGAATGACACGGACGAATGTGTTTGACTACTTCTTTTCTTTGAAATACCCAAGGTGATCTAGTAATAAAATGTTTTTTTTTTCTTTAAATGTGCTAGTCTTATTGATGTAGTGTTACTTAAGGAAAATATAGGTTTCATTTAGGTGATAATCGGATAGAAAAGTAAATTTAGTTCCAAATTGTCATCTTGGATATACTGTACATTAAAAAAAAACTGTCCATAAATCATCTACGACTCAGTTATATATTCCTTAATAAATTTACATATATTATATATAAATATGACGGGAATTACCTTGATTTCTCTTTTTCTCTGGTTCCCCAGTTAACGTCATCCATGTTTGCGATGGAGTACAAGAACAGAACGATAGATGTACAGGGAATAGCAAGAAAGTACAGTAAACTATGTTTAACACAGTGACATTCCTAAAGCATATGAAAAAGGTAGAGAGTTATCAATAAGTTTAAACGTAAACATCATGATTGAAAGTCTATTAGGTACGTACTTGTTTGGCTTTATAATTATTTTGATTTGAGTGTCATTGATGAGTCTTATGTAGACAAAACGCGCATCTGGCGTATTAAATTATACGCCTTGTACCTTTGATAACTATTGTGAAATTTTTGTTATTAATGTCTACTCTTAATAAGGACGTTATGTGAAGTAAATGAAACTTGACCTATTAACAAGAATATTATTTTCAAATGTTCGTTGGTTTCACCAAATCAGATGTTAATATACTTAGTTATTGTATGTCATGCGACTGTCATACAACTGAGAGGTTTAGCTACCTATAAAACCAGGTTAAACCCACCATTTTTTACATAAGAAAATGCCTGCACCAAGTCAGGCAATATGACAGTTGTTATCCATTGATGTGTTTAAGCTTTTGATTTTGCCATTTGGTTAGGAACTTTCTGTTATGAATTTTTTCTCGGCGTTCGGTATTTTTGTGATTTTACTTTTTCCCTGATTATTTAAGTCACAATTATGTCTTAAAGTATTTAGCTAAACATTTGTATTGATCACTGTTCTAAAATTTTATACGAATGATATCATATTGAATGTTTAAATTCTATGGTTTCCTCTACACTCAAAACAAATGTTAATGTATAATGTATACCAAATTTTATAATTAAACACGAGTTGTAACCTAAAAGTAAGAATAACTCATGTGCCCATGCTGACTAACATTTGTTAGAAAAATCATAATATTTACTATATAAAGGCAAATTACTGAATTATTTATTATATTGATTTTTATTAAGACCCTTGATCTACGTGTTGATAATTTTATTGAATATTCCAAAAATGATCTTACCTTAGGATGTAATATCGTAGCTAGTACAAATATCCCCGCTATAAAGCAAACAAATATAATGGACGTTGAGCACAAGGTTTCTTCAACAGCTGAACGAATTACTCCAGCAATAACTAAAACCATCAACACAAAAAGAATGAACGATACAATTTGAGCACACAGCATCTGAAACAGAAAAATGTTAAATTTTGATAATTTATTATATTGCAGCATATTCTGAAATATAATTGTGTACATATATTAGTAATGATAAGACATGTTAGATGGAATATTGTATTCATTTTTTACTTAAAGCTTTCCAATGTATATTTCACATGTTTCAAATGAAAATGAATATTCACGAAATCTAGAAAAGACTGCTGATAATCTAAACGTGCTTGATTATGTTGATAGTTCACAGAACAACAATCAGATTTCTTGAACAAAAACATATTGTTTCCAATCTTTCAGAACTCGTCAGTCTATTCAAGCAGTACATTCATTATATATAAATAAACTCATACCAGAATACAAATGTTGTATTTGCGCCGACGCGCGGTTCGTCTGCAAAAGATTCATCAGTGACGCCCTAAAAATAATTAGGAAGACCAAATAAAGTACGATTAAACCCGTCACAGGTACTCTCATAAAACTCACCTGAATGTCTTTCTTAAAAAGAGAAATACAGATAAATACTGTTACTGGAAGTAGAATTACAAATAGTAAAACGAAGCCTGTTATTCCTTCACCATTATGCCCTAATACGAGGACCAGGGCACCATACATCATCATTATAATAGTACCGGGTGTGAGGAGAGACGACATACAGTAGAGAAATTGGTAAATTATGTACAGCCGTGTTATTTTACTGTTTTTTTTACAGACAGCTCTCATGTGCATAATTAGGTAGAATATATTTGCTAAAGTTGAAGGTATCCAACGACGCCTTTGTTTAAAGAATTCTTCAAACGTTTCCGGAACAAACGTTTTTGCATCAGATTCTGCACAATATTCTATTCTTTTTCCTGCTTTCAAAAGCAAAGTACAAAGCCATCGGTCTTCACCTAAAATAATTCATAAGTATCAGTATCATGAACAAAATAGAGCTCGATCACTGGTAAAAGAAGTGATGTGTTTATATAATTTTACGTTTCACTCTAGTTTAGTCGACATCTTTCGTATGTATATACCAATTAATGTTCATATTTCACACTGAATCAACGAACTAAGTATAATTTCCACAAATAATTCAAACCGCCAATTGGTCAGCTTCTGTACTATTGATGAGATTTGAACAATTGATGCTAAAACAAGAACCCATTTCAATGAAAAGTTTCTGTCAGACATATGTGGTTGTTAAAACAACATTATTATTTGAAAACTTTTCCAATATTTTGTTTGAATCATAATGTTTTAAAAGAAGTATCATTCGTCCCTTCATCAAACAGAATAATTTAAACGTCGATTACAACAACGTGCCATCTTTCAGTAAGGTCAGAATAACGAGTTTTGAGATGAATTGTTTAGACTTAAAATGTTGTACACTCTTGTACGAAGAAAGGTTCATGTATGCAAGTAAAGAATCATGGACCAATGTAAAAGAGTATGCACATGATGCATGTACTACTATGTAATATTTTTAAAATCGATTCCCGTATGTGATAGTTTACTTGGATGGTATTAAGTATAGTGTATTATAAGATAATGTTTCTTTAATACATTATTACCTTGATCATACTGAATTACATCTAGTGCTTCCTTTGGCTGTTTAGAGTAGTCCTCTAGTATTAGTTTCAAAGCAGACCCTCTGAATAAACTAAAGCATCCTGGACTGCACAACACACATCCAATAACATGTTCTGTTGATTTTTGTAACCAATGACTGACAGCATATTCGAATTTCTGGTACCACACTATTGGACCTGCATACACCCAATATTTCAAACAGATTGAAAAGAGTTCTAATATAATAACAGAACATATGACTTCAATATAACAAAGGTGAAAAGACGAACAAAAGTCAACAGAACACTTTATATGAAACTAAGAGCTGACTGTAATGTGTTCTATGTTAACCTTGTATTAATCGTGACGTGTTTGATTCATTTGCAATTTGTTGATATACAGCGATAGAGAAAAACGAAATGCAATTGTGACAGGATCAAAAGTAAAATATCCGTGTTTTTCTGTAAAACAGATTTGTTATAGCGTTCATGTTAGCAAGATCAACATTTTCAAATAAAAAAGACAAAAAATAATCGTTACCGTTAAAACTCATTTTTAACATTTTGTATGGGTTGTGCCAATCCTTAACTGTTATAGAGAAAAGTAAAAACAAAACAAACTTGTATTTCGTTTTTATTTTTCCTGCCCCTCTATGTCGTGTATGTTTATAGTTTTATTGGGTACAATGACTACTTTCAATTTTATTGCATATCAATCATTCGGGATCAGAAAGATTGATATTTGTCTGGTATTTCATAATTTCCTAACTAGATCTTTTATAGAAATTTTGTATCCCGTTAATTTTTTACCGTTTGCAAAGTATTACAGTAATGCATTTGTTGATTGCAAGTAGACAATCTTACTTGAATTCTTTTCAGCTGGATGAATTCTTCCGCATGCTGCACCTACATCAGGATATTTCCTCATTCTTTGAAGGAGATGCGGCACGGCCTCTGGTTGAAAATCAACATCTCCATCTAATGCCATTATAAAAGTGTTTTCAGTTGTATATCTTGAATTTTCTTTAGAACGATAATCAAGTAGGTAATACATATACATTACCTGTTTAAGTACAGAAGATATTTATGAAATGCGGCAAGATGACACACAATATTTTTAAACAAATATGTTTAACATCCAAGTTAACTCCCGAAATAAATGTAAAAACAAATCTACTTCAAATAACCCAAATACAAGCCAATACAAAAGTATGGAATACATAAGTGTGTTTGGTAAGTTAAAAGTTTCAACCACGCACTTATTTCGATTCCTCTAGTAGAATACAGATGCCATGACGATGTAATTTCAATCATTGTTTTTTCTCACAAAAGTAGTGACTACTGGGCTGATGAATACCTGTGGAGAAAACATCCACACGCAGGGACATGGACACATTAGTCTTGTGTAACCTTTCCAGTTAAAAAAAAACACACAAAATCGATACCAAGAGTAAAAATATGTTGACGTGTGCTTCGTTTACAAATGACTCATCTGTAATGCTCGAATCGAACAATTTAAATCGACCATATATGTACATGTTGAGGGAAATCGTGGTCCCCAAATTCAGTACTTTTTTCAAATGCAGCTAATCTACATGTTCTATTTCTTCGGTAGAAACCTATTAATATCTAAAAAAAAATAAATGTTTGTTTTCAGTTAATTAACTATGTCCATATCGACAATTATCTCGAACGGTTTTTGGTGCATTTCGTGTTGCTGAGCCTTCTATGTTGTATTGTATGTCCTGTCTTTAGTTTTATTTTTATGTTTGAGTCATTGCGTGGTCAGTTTGTTTTCTCCGATGTTTTAGTTTGAATTTCGCTTTGTAATATTTCGTCTATCGTATCAATGTAATGGGTTTATAACATTTTTCCCGTGGAAAAGCAAGTATTTTTTCAACAATCAGTAATGACAATAGTTATCTTTCCTGTACCATACAACATAAATCTTGATATAATACAATAGCACCCACACTCCTTTTTCAAGATATTATACACTATGGAAAAATGATAATGTAAGAGGTAAAATAGACATGAAAACCTAATTCCCTTTTATTTTAGCAGTATACATATTAATTTTTTACATTGTCATGAAGCGGGAGGTTTAGCATACATTTTAACCAGGTTCAATCAACCATACAGTTAATCGTACAGCAGATTTGCAATTCGTTGAACTTGTAAGTTCGTGTTTTCCCTGTACCAACAAAATCCTCGAAAATTGGTATCCAACGAATAATAATGAATCCATATTAGTACATACTAGGATTTTTTTTTCTAGATCGATTTATGACTTATGAACACCGGTGCACTACTGTTGCCTTTATCTTACATAACGTTACATTAATTTTGTCGAAATTTAAATGATGCGTTAAAGTGGAGTTCTGTTACTACTATCTCTATGTTATAAATCGAGAGAAGAATTGTTCCTTCCTTACACGTTTAAAGGATTTTACAGATGGAAAATTGTTCATTAATACGCAAATTGGTAAGTACGAATATTTGCAATTATTGTAATTAAAGGTTTAACAAACTGCTGTTGAACTGAATTTAAATTTGAGGAAACTGTATAAATATGTGACAACTTAACGACAGGCGTTCCGTATCGGATAACATGTAGTTAATCATGGTTATTTATTTATTCTTCGTTTTAAATATAGTCAAATAATGTTAGATCTGCAATTTTACATTAAAAATGTGTTCTTCCCTAAACGGAATTTGAACCCCTGTATCATAATAAAAATTGAAAAGGCCTCCTAAATATTGTGATGATAGGTAAAGTATACCTGACTCCAACGTTTTTTCTTCCGAATCTTTTTACTGTCTTTCAGGTGAAGAACAAGTTTCGTTTTTCCTGGCAAAACCAAATGCATTTGTCCACCATATGGAGTAAGCAAGAACTGATTAGTTCCTATCCTCTTCCCATTGTAAACACTTCACAATGTAAGCAAAATATTAAATTATGTTTAACTATTACATGTATGTCGGTTTGTTCTGTAAACACACTGTTTTCAATGTAATAGTATGCGACTGTAATACAAGTGATAGGTTCAGTTAGCTTTAAAACCTATATTTCTGCATAAGGAAATACTTTCACCGAGTCAAGAACATACCAATTGTTTTTCATCCGTTTGATTTGTTTTAATGTTTGATTTTTGCCATTTGATATGAGGAAAAATTAACCTTACTTAATGATCTGATAACATAATTATTTATACATTCCTAAAAAACAATAGTATGTTTACATATAGTGGTGACGTACAATAACCGAATCAAGTGCACTCAAAACATAAATAGTTGACGTATGAACGTGCTTATTACCTTTTGAAAATATACGTTATAAAATATCCACAGTACTGCGATTATTTATAGTAACTTTGTGAACTAGTACACAATTTTATTAAGGGGCCAGCTGAGGACCACCTCCGGATGCGGGATTTTCTCGCTGCTCTGAAGACCAATTGGTGGCCTTCAACTGTTGTCTGCTCTTTTGTCGGGTTGTTGTCCCTTTTATATATTCTCCATTTCCATTCTCAATTTTATACTTTATTTATATATGCTTTATATAATAACTGAACCTTTTATAGTTCTATACAGTACATATAAAGGATATTTCAGATACAGTTAAGTCTGCCTTAAATCTTGACTTACATCTAGAAATTGAAAATGAGAGTCGGTTGAAAACAAAACGTTATGACAAAAAAGATGATTTTAATTCCAAATTGTGAACTTTCCATTTTTATGTAACAACATTTAAGCGGTGGCTGCATACGGAGTGTATATTTCCAAATTAAAACAATATTCCCGGGCTTGTTTTTCCTATCATGATTTCTTTGATAGAGGGTTGCTGCTCACACGGAAGCTATTAAACCAAGAGTTCCACATGGTGAAGTTGAAATCATCCATTAGTAACGTTTATGGACGCCATCACGAGTTGGTTGATCATTATGGAATATCCGTTTCAACTTAATAACAATCTGTTCCCTTTTTACTAAGACAACCTACACACTATTTACAGGGTTTGTAATAACATGAGCAACACGACGGGTACCACATGTGGAGCAGGATCTGTATAACCTTTTGGAGCACCTGGTGGGTTCATGTTGCTTAGTCTTTAGTTTTCTATGTTGTGTCGTGTGTTCTATTATTTGCCATGGCGTTGTCAGCTTATTTTCGATTTATGAGTTTGAATGTCCCTCTGGTACATTTTGCCCCTCTTCAACTCTTTAATTCTGTCATCTGTTATAACCATGTATCATGTATATTTGATGCTCTATTAGAACAGTTACTGAGTATGAGTTTTTATAATAAATTCTAAAGTTCTAAAAATAAGGGACTTTCTGGATTTTTTTTATTTCCCTGAGAGTTCGATATATTATTTTATTTTACTGTTTAAACGAAATTATGTTCCTTCATCAAGATCAATGATGATGCTGATAGCGGATGGCTGTTTTACTTCCAGCGGTAAATTGATATACAATTTCAGGACGAGACGAGATGCCATGTTTGTTTAACCATACCTGAATGTGACTTACTAAGGCTTTTTAACGTTTTTAACAGGTTACTTGAAGGGTTTCACCACATGAGTAGATCCTGCTGACCGCCTTTGAAGCACTTTGTTTAATATAGAGAGTTTTGTGGGAATTAGGATTTTCAGTATGTAGTGTTTGGTGACATTTTGGTTATCTTCTCTGTCCGTTTTTTTTTATCAAAAACACAGTTCATAGTGATAAACCAATTCTAATGTTACAGTGACTTTATAAGTATTCGTGGAAAAAATTCATTGCGGATTTCATGAGTATAAGGACATATGAAACAGTAGCAGGAGCAGATAATAACGTTTTTAAAACTGCGTATTGTTTTTGCGATTTTGTTTATAAGAACGTTCTTACATGTATTTCGCGATGTATCTTATAGGAACATTAACATTGTGCAACGTCGCTTTAGATGTAGTCATATTTGCGGAAAAGTCACCGACGTCATAAATCAATTTGTGGGAATTTGAAAAAAGGACCTGCTAAGAAATGCTGCAATTTCGAACATTTAAAACTATGTTCAATGGTTTGTTTACATGAATTATGGGACTAAGATATGAGAAAGATTCAAATTGATTTTTTAATCAGCTGTATCGGTTTTGTTTCCTTTTAATTCTCAAAGTAATTTCAGTTACTATAATACTTTTTTAAAAGATGATATGTATTGATTATGAGGAATTGTCTGTCCAAGTTTCGTAATATTTCATAAAGGTATTAAATTGGCAAATATTACATGCTATTATTGAGTTACAAGTTTTATAAATTTTGATGATTAATGTCGACTGATTCCCGGCTTTTGGTTTGCGAGTTTTATAATACTTTTATATTCGTAGGACATAGTCAGTATTCTACGTAGGAAACTATCATAATACCACTGAACTTTGCAGCGTTGTCGCGTACGGCAGTAATGATTTCACGACGTTGTTTAGATTTAAAATTTTTGTCAACGTTTATTAGCGCAATATTTGCATACAGGACGTATTGCCTTTAGAAAAGTAAAGGTTTAGGGCTTTTATTGAAATAAAACATGCACATGGAACCCTTATGTTTTCCTTTTGCAATCAAACAGTATGGTTTGACGAAAAATTCTTAAATAAAAAAAAAAAAAAAAAACAAATATCAATAATAGAATATGTTCTGCTTTTCTGTATAGATGCAAACATATTGCATTTTTTTTTATTTCACTTATAAAAATACAAACTCAGCATTTAATTATTGCGTGTAAACTTAAACTTATTTGTAACAGCATGTTATTGCCTTGGAACAAATTAATAGTTTTCAAAAGAGGGGCGAACGATACCAGAGGAACAGTCAAACTCATAGATCGAAAATAAACTGGCAACGCCATGGCTAAAATAAAAAAGACAAGCAGACAAATAATAGTATACAAGACACAACATAGAAAACTAAAGACTAAGCAACACGAACCCCTACAAAAAACTGGGGATGATCTCAGGTGCTCTGGTTATGTTAAAACCGTTTTTTTTTTCAAAAGTAAAGCTACTTTCCTTAACCATGTTAACAGTCCTTTATCGTGTATTTTAGGATTTTGCCTTTCAATATGCAAAGAGGTAGGGCCATTTTCCCGTGAGTTTTTTTCATTTGATTAGCTAGGTAAATCATGTTTTTAAATAGCCCGATAGATGCTAATTATAGTATATCAAAACACGTCACATCATCTATCTTCATACCTTGAACAGGTATCCTAATTTTTTTGTTTATCAAAACCAATATTGATTTTGTTTGTAAGTGCCGCTGAGGAGCATTAAAATATGAATTATCAACTAATAGATATTCAAAAATAGTTTTGTATTAAAAAAAAACATGGTGCTTCAGTTAGCGTGTTTATGTTGGTAGGTGATTTGTAGCGTACATGTATTTCACAGCTTCGTTTAACTCAAAACTAACAAAATATTAATGTGTCCATAGTACACGGATGCCCCACTTGTACTATCATCTTCTATGTTCAGTGAACCGTGGAATTTGGGTAAAAACTGTAATTTAGCATTAAAATGAGAAAGATCATATCATAGGGATCATGTGTACTAAGTTTCAAGTTGGTTGGACTTCCACTTCATCAAAAACTACCTTGACCAAAAACTTTAACCTGAAATGGGACATACTAACAAACGAAGGGACGGACGGACGGACAAACAAACGAACGGACGCACAGACAGAAAAACTGAATGCCCCTAAGTGGCGCCCAAAAAGAGGGTTTAATATGAATGCAAGAAACATTTAATAATCTAATTATCTGATATAAATCAGCTAATCTGATTCAAGATCGGTCTCTGTTTTCATGCCAATAAGCCAAAAAATATCGGACGCATTTGACTGGGATGTTCTTTTCCTCAATTTGGATGTATCTATATCTAAACACTGTTCCGGCTTTTAAGATTTACCATCTATATGAACCGGACAACAGCTTACATCAGTTGGAACTAGAACGGCTTGCGTAACAAACACATGTAATCTGGTCTTTTCTGCATGGCATTGTACCAAATGGATCGACCTTTTGTTGTGATACAGATTCAACACTTTCTTGATGTTTTACCTACAGTCACGATTGGTAGTGTAATTGATTTTTTCTGTGGTGTTGTTTCATTTTCTGATGACTTAGGTTCCGGTGTAGAGACGGTGGTACAATGTAACAATGCCAATACTAGTATCTACACAGTTGGTTGATTGGCGATAAAATTACTGTCTGCATTTGTTACATATCATACCATTTTCTAAAACGTTCTTGTTCAAGATTTAGAAAACTTTTTTTTGTTTTGTTTTGAAATTTTTCTGCTATGGCCTTTTTTCGTTATGTGTATAACACAAACAACATTTGGGCTATATTGCTATATAATCAATTCTCGTGTTATTGGTTATGTACAAGCACCTACTTCAGTGTGACCCTTTGATTTAAACAAACATCCGAAAAAAGTGAAAGAAACATAACACTTTAATATTTGAACATAAAAAATGAGAAAAATTAGCGTGAGATTTCAACCCCATCTTAAAAACAATCCATTATTTACAGTTTTAAGCGCTATCGATGGAGCCACAGCGACTCTTGAAAACATAATTGATATTAAACAGCTATATAGGTAAAATTTAGTGATGTTCCACTTTTTATTAAAAGAAGTTGTTTTTAGGTATTAAGGACACACTTAACCAATTTCATTTTTGAAGGGAAAAGTTGTATAAATTACAACAACAACAAAAAACATAACTTTGTTTTGGTTTGAAGTGTCCTTCTAGGGAGATTCCCTGTTTTTCCAACCTAAAAACACGGTAAATTCCGCATATTTGACTTTCATCCTTTTTTGGAGGTTAAATTAACTATTTTC